CGGTACGTGGCGGACGACACACACACACACACACACACACACACACACACACACACACACACACACACACATGAGCTGATAAAGAGCACTCGTCCTTGCACACCTCTGTCAACTACTCAGCCATGAACGAACCGCTACTCCCCTCCCATATACCCAAACCACCATCACCACGCATCACTCGCAACACCCAGGGGCGGCGTTTCTGATGCCGGTCAACTTTGAGCCGTATTCGGACACGTTGGACGAGAAGCACCCGCCACAGGAGCTCGCCTACGTCCTCCGCCTCTTCTGGCCCCACTGCTGCGAGGGTGAGCCACGCTTTGACGCACTGTGGCACACACACACACACACACACACACACACACACACACACACACACACACACACACACACACACACACTTGGCTGGCGTTGTGCCTTTCTATGAAAGTACTCGTTTCGTGTGTATGTGCACCCCTCCCCACCCCACGTACTCATGCATGCATCCATCCATCCATCATGTGTTTGCAGAAGTGCAAACTGCGGAGCTGTTAATGGAAAGATTGGAGGCGATAGTTGCTGATGCGTTCACCTCGGATCTCTACCTCGCTCTCTGCGTTCTCCAAGTAACAAACACGTCCAGGCTGTGGGTGTTCTTGTGTACATACTTGTAGACATGCTTGAGGCCGCGCTGTCTCGTCTCAACACTGCCACTGCTGATGTTGCTGACGCATTCATCTTCTCTTGTGCAAACTGTGTTTTAGGTCCTGTTTGAGATTGCTCAGTGCCCAAACTCCACTGTCGCATCATGGGTGAGTGAGTGAGTGAGTGAGTGAGTGAGTGAGTGAGTGAGTGAGTGAGTGAGTGAGTGAGTGAGTGAGTGAGTGTGTGTGTGTGTGTGAGTGAGTGAGTGAGTGCGAGTTCCAGTACACATGCACAAATGCGCGGTGCCCTGATCTGTCACCATCTCTGAGTTCGTTTTCCGGCACAACACCACAGGCTCTGCATGATCACCCGTGTAGTTTGTGGTCGCTGCTGAACGCCCTCAAGTCAGGTTCGTCGTCCACATCACTCGCGCTGTCCTGGCCTAATCTGTTTCATTGAGTCGATGTTCGAAGCGCAGAGAGCGAGTCAGAGAGAGAAACCGCTCAGACATAGACACTGACACACGCACTCACGCACACGCACGCACGCACATACGCTCACTACACGCGCACGCACACACACTCGTGTGTCTCGCGTCGTTGTGTTCAGGGTATGTGGAGTGCACACACCAAGCCTGCATCGAGGCGGTCATCATTGCGTATCTGCGAACGCTTCGCCACACGTCTGCCTCTGTTGCCGCCCATGCAGAGTGGCTGTACAGCAGCATTCCGGTCAGGCCGCTGGGGGTCCCTGTCGTGCGTGGTTTGCTTTCAGGATGAATGCATGTGTGCTTGTGTGTCATTAAGATGGCTGCTTTGCTGACACATGCGGGAACGTGGGTTGTCTGTGGACGCAGATGGGCTTCCCCCACATTAACCTGTCGCTGCTGCAGAAGAGCGCCTTTCACAACGCCTTTGTTACGTTTCAACGAGGTTCGGCGAATCGTCCGCTTGCTTGCTTGTGTCTTCATGCACCTGACTATCTTGCAAACATACGCACACCATCCCTCTGTCTCTCTTAAACACACACACTCATGCACACATTTACGCACGCGTACACGCTCATACACACTCCTACACACACACACACACACACACACTCACTCACTCATACACACTCATACACACCCACCACTGCACCGCAGATTCGTTTCGGACGGGCGGTGCGTCTGTGCTCGGCATCACGCTCGTGCAGTCGCTGATGCTTCCGTCCATGCAGACAACGCGGAACCCACAGGTGCCGCTCACAGACACGGACCGAAGCAAGTCTGGCCGCCGCCCCGGTGCTCACAGCGCGCGCCTCACACGCGTCGCGCAGCGCTCGCATGAGGATTTGCTCGCGTCGACTGGTGTTGATGGTAGCGGCACGCAGTCACTGCCATCATCACCGCAGACACTGCGCGGGCGGCGGGTTAGACGGCACGTGCACGCCGGATCTGCTGGTGAGAGTATGAACCAGAAGCAGCCACACCACCAGTTGCAGCGACAAGGGAGCGGACCCAAGAGAAGAGGTGGCCCGCAGGTGAGCAGGGCCGGTGACGTGGATGATGGCAATTGTGGCAATGGTGGTGGTGGCCGCGGTGGCGGGGACCGCGAGCAGGGTGTCCGTGATAGCTCGAGGATGCGAGCGCGATCAGCGTCGCCGCGTGGCAATCGTCGGGGCCGCGAACGACCGCGTGTGGACGTGGGGAAACACGATGGCTCCTCGGGTTCCAGTTCAAAGAGTGGCAAAACAGCAGCAGGTGTGGGCAACAGGGACGAACGCGGGGGCGATGATGCAGGGCGTGCGAATGACGAGAGTGGCGACGATGTGGTGTCACGTGTTCGTGCAAAGGAGAAGAAGCTGCTCCAGGGCAAGTCCAAGAAGCAACAACAGTCCTTCAACGCGTTCATGTCCATCCTTCAACACCAGGTATGTGCTGTGTGTGTGTGTGTGTGTGTGTGTGTGTGTGTGTGTGTGTGTGTGTGTGTGTGTGTGTGTGTGTGTGTGTGTGTGTGTTGACATCGGTTGTGCTTGCTTGCAGCACAGTCACGCGTCGCACTTCTTTCCGCTCGTCAGCCACACACACACAACACACACATGCACGCACGTGCGATGCAGGCTGACCAGCAGTTTCCCTCGCCATACAAAGGCAAGAAGAAGGACGAGACGGCGTCCCCCAAGCCTCCTTCGCGTACATAGCCCTCCTCCACCCCGTTTCTCACACAGCCTCGTGTATTATAACTGGATGAGTGTAAAGGAACACACCCGGCCTTCGTTGGCATTGATGGAATGAATGAACCAAGGAGGTTTTCTGAGTTGGTTACACGGTGGGTGGTGGAATGGATATGGTACTTTGGATACGGTAGTGGGAAGGGGGGAGCACACCGGCACGCACACGCGGTCGGTGCGGGCAATGGCTGGCATGGGATAAGAAAGTAATCAGAGGGACCAGTTAGAAGCGGGAACAACACGGGAACAGAAGTCATAGACAAAGAACGAGCAGGTGCGGCAGCCACACAAAAACAAGGGCGCCAACGGTTGCACCAAACATGAAGAAGCCATTAAGTACAAGGTCCTGCAAGCAAGGCACAGCGAGAAAGGGTGTGCCAATCGCTCAAGCGGAACAGAACAAGGGCAAAAGAAAAACAAAAACTCACCAAAAGGAAACGGAGCATCGGAGCATCACATCGCATCAGGCAGAACAACTACACAGACACGACGCAACAAAGTTTGTCGACGTTGAAGCCGTGCAATGCCGCAGCCGCAAGAACGGGAGGACGTCATGCGCGGTGATGGGGGCTGCCTGGCTGTGGTGGCGGTGATGCTCTAAGAGCGCTCGCCACGGATGCGACGGGCCAGCTGGATGTCCTTTGGCATGATGGTGACGCGCTTTGCGTGGATGGCGCAGAGGTTGGTGTCCTCAAAGAGGTTGACGAGGTATGCCTCGGCGGCCTCCTGCAGGGCACCGACGGCCTGGCTCTGGAAGCGGAGGTCGGTCTTGAAGTCCTGGGCAATCTCGCGGACGAGACGCTGGAAGGGGAGCTTGCGGATCAGCAGCTCAGTGGACTTTTGGTAGCGGCGGATCTCACGCAGAGCGACGGTACCGGGGCGGAAGCGATGAGGCTTCTTCACGCCACCGTGTTGCTGCGGAGGTACGTAGGTGGTGTGTGTGTGTGTGTGTGTGTGTGTGTGTGTGCGTGTGTGTGTGTGTCCATAGGTGAGGGGTCCATTGATGTATGCAGATGTGCGTGCATGTGTGCGTGTGTTGTGCGTGCGGGTGACAAAGCAAACATGGGCATCAGCGAGCAAGGTTCATGAAAGAAACGTCCTCATGAATGTCAATCAGAGACTCTAGTCGGTTGAGATATCATTTGCCCTCAAGAACAACAGCATACGAGGGGAAGCACATCACGATGGTGACACCGCTACGAAGCAAACACAAACAAACGGGTGTGCTATTGAGAGGTGTAAACGAACCGAGAGTGGGGCGGACTTGCGGGCAGCCTTGGTGGCGAGCTTCTTGCGGGGCGCCTTTGCGCCGATGTTGCCGCTCTTACGGGCAGTCTGCTTCGTGCGGGCCATCTTTGGTTGGTTGGGTGTTGATGCAACGATCGAGCGAAGACAAGGGGATTCTGTTTCAGCACATGCAGAGATAAGCAAGTGATGAAGTGAGGAGGAGGAGGCGTGAGCAATGGGAAGCAGCATCATGGGAAGCAGCATCGGTCCACCACCACCACCAAACCCATATCCAACCATGGCTGCGGCGCTGTTACACGCGCACGCATACGCACACATACGCACGCAAGGCACACGCAACGACTTACCAAGCAGGTGGAGGTGTTGGTTCGGATGGTTGAGAGGAAAAAATGCCACGACAAGCGAGAATGTGGAGAAAAAAGGAGAAAGAGAGAAGCAACGTTGCACGGAAAAAATTCGGGTGGAAGGCTTTGTGTTTTTCTCTCGACAAACATTGAATTTGCCGACTGTGCATCGCCGACCCAAGAGGAAATTGTGGGCTTACGCAGTCGCACACGAGAACGCGCTAACCGTTGCGGCTTGTCTGATTGTGAGAAACCCGCTGGTTGTGCCTTGTGTTGGTTTTCGTGGTAATTTTTTATTCTTGGTGAGAGATTCGATGCGGTTTTAATTTTGGCGCGCACGCAGCTGTTTGTGTTGTGTGTGTGTGTGTGTGTGTGTGTGTGTGTGTGTGTGTGTGTGTGTGTGTGTGTGTGTGTGTGTGTGTGTGTGTGTGTGTGTGTGTGTGTGTGTGTGTGTGTGTGTGTGTGTGTGTGTGTGTGTGTGTTCGATTGTGCGTTTGTTTGTTTGCTCGCTTGTGTACACATCTGTAACTTAAACAGCAGCTCTCTCACACATTCGCCCACCTTTCCTTCGTCTTGCTGTTCCACCTTCATCCATGCAGTGTATCAAACCCACTCGCACAGACACTCACGCGTACAGACATGCACACAAATGCGTACGAAACAGCTATTTTCATCAACAGCAGCAACAACAACAACAACATCATCATCATCAACGGCAACAACGTGCAGTAACGCACCATCCAAGAGGCACAAACACGACAACATCACATATCACATCGCACATCCGCAACCGACAGTGTCGACAAGGCATGGTAGACGGTCGATCACTTCTTTCCACGGTTGGACGTGCGCAGGTAGATGCGCGAGAACAGCGCAACAAACACAACCGCAATGCCGAGCCAGCCCTGTCACAGCAAGCACACGACAATGAGAGAGAGCGCGCGCGTGTGTGTGAGTAAGTGATTGAGAGTGAGAGTGAGTGTGTGTGTGTGTGTGAGTGAGCATGTGTGCGAGAGAGAGTGTGTGTGTGAATGAGAGAGTGCATGTGTAGGATCGAGGCCGACGTACAACTCCTGACACACACACACACACACACACACACACACACACACACACACACACACACACACACACACACACACACAAGAACTGCGAGAAACAAACCTGGGGAGCAAACACGTGGCCGAAGACAACGGCGGACACAAAGATGGAAATGACTTGGCGCCTGTAACAAAGCATTCCCACAACGACAAAACGACAATGGATGAGCACATACAGACCACGCACATGATCTGGCACGTCCAACAGGCATTCAAGCAAGTGCACAACAAAGAAGACTCAGAACAGACACGCAATCCAGACTGCCATGCCACGTACGTGCTGTCGAAGAGGAATAATAGCAGCAGCAGCAGCAGCAGCAGTAGCAGCAGCAGCAGCAGCAGTAGTAGCAGCAGCAGCAGCAGAAGTTGTTCGCGGCAACATGCAAGCGATCAAGGAAACCATGCAGTGCAAGTGTGTGAAGCGGTGAGACGACAAAGGGGCAAACATAGACGTGTATGCAGCCCACGACATACACAACTGGAAACCAACCACTCACACAGGATGGGGGGGGGGCAAAGCGGACATACACAGACAACGGCACATACACTCACACGGACACACATACACACACATACACACACACACACACACGGACACACACACGCACGCACACACATGCACGCAGAGTCAATGCAGCCCAGGTGCGCGTACGTCATGATGATGGCAAAGACAAGAGCGCCATAAGTGGCGAGGGTGTAGAAGATGAACATCTGGCCTGTAGCAGAGGTGATGGAGAGGATGATGGCTTGCATCATAAAGTCGGGGTGCTCCATTGTGAATGCGACGCAATCAAAGAACGTGCCGTGCTGCAAATGGAAATGTGTGTGTAGGGGAGGGGGAGGGGGGTGGTCGAAGATGAACGCACCAATAACAGGTTCGAGGAGGTGTGAGAAAGCGAAAAGGGAAGATCGAGAGTTGATAAGGGATGCACGAACAATGCGGGGAGGCGCACTGGTGAGGAAAAGGACAACACAGCAAGGACGCGCACACACAACTGCACACACACACACACACACACACACACACACACACACACACACACACACACACACACACACACACACACACACACACACACACACACACACACAGGCGCACACGCACAAACACGACGGCGTACGTTTGAGGACCCCTGGATGTTGCTTGACGTAGCGCACAAAGAGACCCGCCGGGATGATGAGGATGAGGTAAGAGAGAACGTTGTGTTGGAGGGACGACCACGTGGATTCATCCTTGTTTGAGGAGGCGGTAGTCACCGATGCTTGCATGGCAATCATGCCAAGTGCCAGCACGGCAACGGCGGCCAAGCGCTTCACCATTGTCATCGTTTGGGGTCGCAAGCGCATCTGCCGTAGGTGAGATGAGGTGTGCGGGTTGTTGTGCTTGTGCGTGTTCAGCCAACACCAGGAGCTTGCTCCACACCAGCCACGCCAGGCAACAAACGGAGGCAAGCAAGTAGTGCGGTGGATGCGAATGAATGCTGCTGCTGAGCAAGTGGTGCAGTCGGTTGTGGCAGTGTGTGTGTGTGCGAAAACAATGAGAGCGGCGATTGCACAAAAAACGGGCGAGCACATGCAAACAAGCAACAACACAGACACAGACACAGACACAGACACAGACACAGACACACACACACAGACACACACACACACACAGACACACACACACACAGACACACACACACACACACACACACAGACACACAGACACACTGAACGATGAGGGGCAGGAGAAGGGCGATTGTGGGTGCGGGGTACGCGGATCTCAGTGTCACAGCGCCCACGGGCCACAGTGGCCGCGACGCTCAACAGCTCAGCGCATCCCTGCAGGCCCTGGCCAACTGTGAGCAGCAGCGGCAGTAGTGGAGGCTATTGTGGTGGCAGTGCTGATGGTGGTGGTGGTGGTGTTCCATGCACTCGCCCTGTCATTACTCCTCCCCTCACACTGCGTGTCTGCCACGCTTTGCGGTGATATCATGCATCAGATGGATATTCCACAGTCGCAGTCAACCAAGAGGTTGGAGGCTCAAAGCCCGTCATTCCGGTGCGGTTAAATGTGTAT